GTTCAGCGTGTCTGTATTGGGGGACAGTTGGGCTAGAGTCATCACAGAGTGAGGAGAACTGACTCTGGCCTCACACACAAAGATGCTCTGGAAGTGCAGGACTTGACCTGACCATGGACATGTGCTTTCCTCTTCACTGTCTCATTAGTACCTGCTCATGTAAACTCTGTAGGTCATTCCCATCCTATAGATAAGGACATCCAGGCCCAGGAAACAAAGTGACTTATTCAAAGCCATGCAGCTAGTATATCATGGGGCTTGGGATACCACTCCCCTATCCAAGGTCTCCTTACGGGATAATCCTGCAGGTGAAAGGAAGGCAGAGGCAGAAATTGTCCAGGGCTGGACAAACCTGTGGTTGGCATCCTCTATTGACAACAGGTATAAACACATCCTGCCTGGTGGCCAGGATGCCTGGGCATAGGGCAAGAACTTTTGTCTTTGAATATCCATGTGACTCCCACACACTGCCTTCAGACAAAGTGGGGGTTATTGTCCATTATTTTCATTTGAGAAAATGAAAGCTCAGGAGATAGGCAACTTGCCAGTAATAAGGGTTGGGCCACCTATGCCATCAGGGTTAGTCTGCTGGACTGTACAGTTCGAAGCTGTTTTATAGAGTTCAAAGCCCACCTGGGGTAACTTAGGGTAGGCTGTCTGCTTTGGCATTTTATGTGGATGTGCTCCATGTCAGATATTGTAGGCATGCACACAACTGCTGTGGTCCTCATGGCTCTCCAGGGGCTGCTTTTGCAGCTCAGTGAGGTGCAGGGATGTTAAGCAGCATGCCCAAGAACAAGAAACGAATTTATGAAGAAAATGGTCCTCTTAATCAGTCTGCTTCCCTCTTCTCTCTGGAGAGGTTCCCATGAGTTTGTGGTCTCCTTGCTCACTTCTCCAGGACAAATTAGGAAGATTTCTGCAGGGTTCTACTTAGGCACATCCCTCATTCCAAATCACACTATGATGTGAGGTTCTGTAATAAAATATTTGACCTAAACTGATACCTGAAACCCCATTGTTACTGACCACCACCACCACCACCAGCAACTCATGTAATTAGTAGGCAGCGTGTCACAATAGTTCTATAAAGAAGACACTATACTTATCATTTGCAGGTGGGGAAACTGAGGCACAGAGAGAATACCTGGTGCCCAAGATTACACAGCTGCCATTGTAGAATCAAGCCCAGAGCCAGCCACCTGGCACAGGCGCCTAAACACTGACTATCTAGTCCTTGGCCTTCCTATATGCTGACCGTGGATTCTGGTACAGAAAGGACCAGTGGCATGTCCATAGGGACTGGGGATGGTCATGGTTCCTGAGATTTCTATCCCGACTCACTCCCAGTGCTTCCAGATGGGATGAGCCAACTGTGCAGGCAGTCCTCTACTTTCTCCACAGGGTGACCATCCGACAAGGCTTGTCTCAGGGGCAAGCAGGCCTGAGGGAGTAGAGCTTTTCTGACAAGAGCTGCCCAGACATTTGAACAGGAACCTGCTGTAGGGAAGGGATGTTGTCCAGCTCTCAAGACCTGAGGTGAAAAGTTGGACTCTTTGTTTCTGATTCTGGGGTCACCTAGACTCTCTGGTTATCCTGTTACTAGCATGAGACATGATGAAAATGGAAGCTCTGGAGAATATCGTCTACTTTTCCTAGAAGAGAGGGCAGTCATGGGGTCTAAGAGAATGAATTAGCCTCCCTAACTGACATAGAGGGAGCTCTTGTAGTGTAGTGGTTATGAATTGGGCTGCTAACCTCAAGGTCAGCAGTTCAAAGCTACCAGCTGTTCTGTGGAAGAAAGATGAGGCTTTCTGTTCCTGTAAAGATTTATAGCCTTGGAAACTTTGTACAGGGTCGCTTATGAGCTGGAACCAACTCCACGGCACATAACCACCAGCACCACCATCCAGCTGACATGGTGGACATTGATCTATAGGCAGGCAGCTCCAGACAGGGTCACTCCTGGAACCTAGGAAGCCTGGACTCTCTGCTGTGGCTTGGAGAGGGAAGATGAGTCTTCCTGAGAACTAACTCCTGACTTTCATGAGAGCACTGGTAAGCTGCTAAGAATCTGAACCCAAGCAAGTCGGAGTGTCTGGTGCTGGCCTAGGTGGAATGTACCCATCAGTAAGGAGAAAAGTTCTCTGAGCATTGTTAGAGAACTGTAGGACTGGACAGGTCCTCTCGGCCCCATTCTGAGGACTAATCTTGATAATCATTTCTCTCCCAGTTTCTTGGTGATTTTGAACTTGGTAAGGAAGGTGAGGATGTCAGGGAATCCTGAGGGGTCTTATGCACTAGGATTATCACCGGCATTTGCTATAAAGAGCTCGGATGTGCAAGTCCTGCTAGACTAAGAGGTCCCTGGAGCAACATCTGGACTGTGAAACCAGGTTGCACAGAAACCCACTTCTTCTTCCTTCTCCCTAGGGTGAGTGTGCAACCAGCAGCACTTGAAGAGGCTGCCAGCTTCCAAGGTGCCCTTCCAGACCCCAAGGGTTCCATAGCACAATGGAGGCCACGTATCCCCCAAGTCTCACAACCACATGGCCTGTCCATAAGAGAGCAGGCACCAGGATTTGCCTTGTAGTCTCTCTGTCACCGGAGTCCTCTGTCACTTTTGCCCATGACCTTTTCCAGCTGTGCTCTCTCCACCACCTAGCACCCACCCAATCCTGGTGTCTCAGCCAGAACACTGGACAGGAAGTCATTTGGGGTAAAATCCAGGGAGACTTCTTAGAATCTGTGTCAGCAAAGAGGAGGAGGTTGTTTCTGGTTGGAGGGCTGGAAGGCTTCGCAAAATGGAAGGGGATGCCAACTGGTGGGACAGGTACAGAGGTGGCAAAAAGTGCTCAGAGAAGCCTGAGTGGTTGGGGTACACAGGGCAACCTGGCAGCTGGCGTGAGCAAGAATAGGGATGAGGGCAATGAGGAGCCATAGGACTGCAGTCTCTGATGCCAGGGAAAGGGGTGTGTTGGCTCCTGAAGGCATGCTGGTGAAATGGACAAACCAGCAATTTGATACAGCCCCTGAACCCTGGTGGTGTCTGTGGCCTGTAGCCTGGGGAGAGCCCGGAGCCCAGGTAAGGTGGAGTCTGTAGGTTGTGGCCATAGTTCAGGGTAGAGAAAATGGTGACAAAACTGTGTAGAAGCGAGTGTCCACAAGAGGGAGAAGAGAAGTGCAGGGTTAATTCCTGGTTTCCAGCCTGGGGATATGGAAGGATCATCCAGACATTGTGGACGGAGGCCTTCCAAGGCATTCATGAGCATCTCAAACTCAGACATAGGCCAGGTGGTCAATTGTAACTGTGTCCTGGGAAGATGTGCCCCAGGGAAGTCTGAAGACTAGGAAGAGAGGAGGTTTAGGGTACAACCTTTCAAGCCCTGGACATTAAAAGGACAGATTGCAAATGGGATTGCCTTAGTTAACTAGTGTTGTTATAGCAGAAATACCAAAAATGAATTGGCTTTAACGAGTAAAGTTATTTTCTCACAGTTTAGGACATGAAAGTACGAATTCAGGGTATGGAATCTAGTGGAAGGCTTTCTGTTGGTTCTGGCAGAAGGTGCTTGTTACTTTTAAGCTTCTGATGATTTTCATTTGACTTTGCATCTATCTTACCCTATGTCTGCTCTGCTGGCTTGTTTAATCTCTGTTATAGCTCAGATTCTGCCTCATTAATGTAACTAAGATAACCTTTTCCTGGATGGGATCATAACCACAAGCATGGTGGTGTCATGGGGTCAGTTCTGACTCATAACGACCCTATATAGCATTTCTGGGGCTGTAAATCATTATGGGAGCAGAAAGCCTCATCTTTCTCCTGCATAACAGCTGGTAGTTTCAAATTGCTGACCTTTAGGTTAGCAGCCTGACTAGTAACCACTATGCTACCAGAGCTCTTTAACCACAGGTGTAGAAGTTAGGATTTATAACACATATTTTTGGGACTTAATTCAATCTGTATCACAGGTGGAGAAGGAGCCACCAGCAAGGCAGGAGGGAAACCAGGGTAGTTGCTTCAGGTGACGTATGGGTGTGTGTATGTATGTGGAAGAGAAGACTTTCAGGAGTTAGGAGGAGCCTCCACTCCAAAGTGGTCACTGGATCCATTGAGGGCACTTAGTGTGCAACGGTCTTGAGATGGAGAGAGCACAAAGAAGTGGAGTCAGCATGTATAGATGATGCTTAATATGGCTGGAATGGCAAGGGGCTGCATTTGGAGGGAGTTGGGAACAGGGGAGAATGATTTAAGAATGGGAAACAAAAGGAACTGAGTTGCAAAACCAGCTGAGGGCACAGTCCAGAGAACAGGGTGGTGTGGCCTGGAAATAAAAGGACAACTTCTCCCTTGGAACTGGTTGGGTGGCAAAGTCTCTGTGGTGTGTGTGACTACTGTTTTTCATTCATCAAACATCAATCAAATGTCAGGCAATGCTGAAAGTTAGGGATTCAGAGATGTACACACACGAGCATGGTGGTGTGCCGTGGGGTCGGTTCTGACTCATAACGACCCTACATAGGGTTTCTGAGGCTGTAACTCTTTATGGGAGCAGAAAGCCTCATCATTCTCCCATGTAACAGCTGATAGTTTCGAACTGCTGCCCTTTAGGTTAGCAGCCTGACTTGTACCCTGATTCCTAAGGGGACCACAGGCAGAACCATGTGAAATGGGTGCCTGGCTCCCTTCTGTCCTGGAGGAGTCAACCTTCTTAAGCAATCCAGGCAGGACACGACCTACGGGGCCTGGGAGAGGCTTTGTCAGGAAGATGGAGAAACCATTTATTCATCTTGCACACAGGCAGTCCTCATCCACTGCCCAACAAGTCCTGTGAGGCAACTACCTGGGCTGAATGAAGCAACCCCCAGCCCACACTCTGGCAGGCAGCCAGTGATTGGGTAGGTCAGGAAGGCCCTCCTGTAGGCCTTTGCATCAGGCTCAGACTGGGCATAAAGGAGGCTCCTGTGGGAGAGTGGAAGGCACAGCACATTTGGGCACCATGAAGACCAAGGCAGGCAGCTCTTCCCTGCAGCGGTGGTCACTGTTGCTGTTGTTGCTGGGCTTGGTGGTGCATCCATCTGCTGCCCAGGCCTACAGCTACCAGGAAGCTGTGCTCCGTGCTGTGGATGGCCTCAACCAGCGGTCCTCAGATGCCAATCTTTACCGCCTCCTGGATCTGGACCAGCAATCTGTAGGAGTGAGTTGGTTGGGTGCTCCTTCGGACAGATTTGGTCTCACTATCACTTCTGGTCCCATGTCCTGGTCTCTGCTCATGTTGTACCTCCTACCAGGAGGTGTGGTCCCACCTCCTCTAAGGAGTCTTACTAGAACTGCATCCAGCATGTGAACTTCTGACCTTAGCATCCCTGATGTGTGCAGAGGTGCTCCCTCTCCTCCAATGGGTTACCAGGGTTTCTGTGAGCTCTAGGGACAAGAGTAAGTCATTGGATACGGAAAGGTGTGACTTCCCCTGCTTTAAATCTCTATACCTCATGATCCCCCACACAGGGAAGGGATTTGCTTAGTTTTGAAGTTCTAGTGAACGTGTCTTGACTTCTGGGAGGCCCGGATCTCCCTCACCCCACCAGAGATGGGGAGGTGCTTCTCATTCGAGCTTGTCTGTGGTCTACTCCCACTCCCTGGATGCTTGTGGAGAACAGGATTGAGTCCTGCCCCCTTCCCCTCTCTTCTGGGTCTGAAGCTCTATGCACAGCACACAGTGTTGGTCAGGGAGACAGAGACCACATTCATGAAGAATGAGCTTGAACTTGATCTTCCCATTTCCTACCCCTGCCCAGGATGAAAACCCAGACACCCCAAAACCTGTGAGTTTCACGGTGAAGGAGACAGTGTGCCCCAGGACTACACAACAGCCTCCTGAGCAATGTGACTTCAAGGAGAATGGGGTGAGGCAGGAATCTGGGGGTGCTTCCAAAAGAACTGAACAAAGGACTCCCAGGGTGGGGGTGGGAGGAGATCGTGAGGGATTTCAGTCTGAACTTGAGCCTCCTTTTCCCAGCTTGTGAAGCAGTGTGTGGGGACAGTCACCCTGGACCAGGTCACAGGCTCCTTTGACATCAACTGTGATGGGGTGAGTTGGCTTTCCTGGGTTGCAGGGGATGATGAGGGCAGGGCAGAATGTAGGGACATCCTGTGAACCAATAAATACTCCCACCCAGAATAGTGGTCATGAATCGGGCTGCTAACCTCAAGGTTGGCAGTTCGAAACTGCCAGCTGTTCCGCGGGAGAAAGATGAGGCTTTCCACTCCCGTAAAGATTTACAGCCTCAGAACCTCTGCAGGGTCACTGTGAGTCGGAACCAATTCCACGGTTCTTAACAACAACAACCCAGAACAGAGAAAAATCCTCCTACTCTGGACTCCTTTCTCAGCCTGAACCTGAAGCTTCTAAGCCCTCCAATTGCTTTGCAGGCCCCTAGCTGGCACCTGGGAACTTGTTAGAAATGCAAATTCTTAGGCCCCATGCAGATCCACTGAATGAAATAATGGGTGCAGATCAACAATTTGTATTTAGCAGGAATTCTGAGTCCTAAAGTTTGATCTGGGTGGGGCCCTCAGTTTTTTCATGTTTGTTGGGTGGAGGGATTCAACCACATGCTCCTCAGGTCACAGCTGGAGGGTAAACTAGGGCCCTAAGGCTCTTGGGATGGCTCAGGAAAGGGGAGTCTCAGTGGGGAGGGGTCGTGGCCTGACCCTGGGTCCAGTCCCCACATAGAGCCTGTTTCCTTCTGGTACACAGTTTCAGCGTGTCAAGAGAATTGGTCGCTTTGGTGAACTCCTCAGGAGAGGTGGACAGAAGATTGGCGAAAAGATCGAGAGAATTGGCCAGAGAATCAAGGGCTTTTTTCAGAATCTTGCACCCAGATAAGAGTCTTAGGGTTTGTCCCAGCCCTGCATCAGGCCTCCATACTCTGAAAAATAAAGTCTGGTGAAAGCAGCTTCCCCCTGGCTTCCATCTCACTTGACTTGTCTGCTGTTTCCTCTTACTTTTGTCAAATGAGTCCTTAACTGGGAGAGAGAGTGTGTGTGTGTGTGTTTGTGAGGGAGAGAGAGAAAGAGAGACAGGTATTTTTGTGGACAGTTGTTCCATCCAGGAGGGTCTGGGAGGAGGTGGCAGGGACCCTCCCCATGTCCTTCACATCCCTCCCCTCTCTCCTCAAACCAACATCCAGCAGGAATTGAAGGAGGCCTAGTCTGTGTGCAGTGGTGGGATAGCATGTAGCTGCTCACATAGTAGTGGGATAGCATGTAGCTGCTCACATAGTAGTGACAGTCAAGGAGGGGCCTCTCATTCCGTTAAACACTCCCAGAAACACAGAGGGGTCTGGTTGGGTTCTAAAGTCAGCCTGTTGGTGCAATTCCCATAAGGTCCTACTTCTGCTTCAAAAATTTTAACTCTGGAAAAGTCTCCCATTCCTGGCCTTTCCTTTGGCATCAAGATACACCACTGTTTCTTCCACTGGGCAGCAGATTACGTTGTGGACCTGAGTTTATGAAACACTTACAATGATACACAGTCACAGCGCTGTTGTGCTGAGTGTTTTAGATGTGCCTCTGGGCTGCCCACTCCTACAGGAGTTAACTGGAAGTATGGGAGTGAGCAGTTCACCAACTTTGGGTGGAAATTGGTGAAAAATGTCTTCTCTTCCTTGTCTCTAAAGCAGACCAACTCCAAGGTTGTTACCATCTTCCAGGGACCCCCCACCCCCACCCCAATGGGGCTGATCCCTGTTGCTCACAGCAATACTCTGTTCATTAACACATCCCCTCTGACTTGGGTTCCTGCCCTGGCTCACTTACCTACACTGCTGCTGGTACTTTCTGTAATGGCATCTCAAGTCAACGACTTCCTTTGGAATTCTGGTCTTAGGTCTGCCCCTGAGCTAATCTAAACTAACACAAAGACATCCCTGTCTAAAAGAAATGGAGGACAGGATCTCATTTAGCATTTACTTGTCATCTGTCATGCTTACTTCTCCAGGAGCAGGTATGGTAAATTTCAGGCAGGTAAGATGAGCCTAAGATGCTTCTCATTCTGCATTGACAGACTGAAGTACATTCTATATATAGCTGAGCCCAGGAACTGTGTTCTATCAGAGTCAGAGTATACCAGCTTGCTAGAGATTCTTGTTGAATTTTTAGGAATATTTTGAGCTGAGTTTTAACTGTTGGTACCTTGCAATCAGCCACAGTGGGAGTAGTTACACTATGGAAACTGGCAAATGCTACAAATCAACTCTTCCCCCTAGTGGTTATTAAAATTTTTAGCACATTAGCACATGTTCAGGGGTTCTCTGGAGCCATCAGGGTAGAAGGGAGGGCAGGGAGAACTTTGAGGAGGAAGTGCCCTTGGGTGAAGGATAAGTAGGAATTAAGTTGACAAAGGGATGAAGAGAAGGCAGTCCAGGAAGAGGAAAGACTTGAGTATAGGCAGGAGGGCTGAAGGAGTGCTTTGCTCTGCAGAATGAGTGCTAACTATGTTAACAGTGTTTGTGGGGCCTGGAGAGCAGGCAATGAAGTCCCAGGCAGGTTCACTAGGGGGCTGCTTTTGTTGACCTCACACTTCCTTCATTGTATTTGGTGAATACAGAGAATAAGAAGCAGGGAGTTCATGGAGATCAGATACCCAGTCAGTTTGGAATTTGATTATGTTCCATGACTGTTTTTATTGTGAACTGAGTGATAGTGTACATGGAAGAACACCGGCTTGACATCATCATTTCATTGCAATGATTACAATCTCCTCCATGCATTATCATTCAACAGTATTTGCTTCCATTCCCTCTGTTTAAAAAAATTTTTTTTTATGTGTGGGGGAGATGTACACAAAAACACTCAGGAATATATAATAATTTAAACAATCAAAGGGTACAATCTGCAAGCCTGCCTCCTGGTTGCCAGCTCTCAGTCCCTCTCTTTCCATGAGTCTAGAGTCTTCAGCTGCTCTCTCTCTCCATGTCCTCATCGCTGCTTCCATCTCTGGTGTTGCTGTTTCTCTGGATAGGGACCCACATTCCACTTGTGCTCTTCTCCCTTGATGGTTTTAGGGTCCTATGATTCTGGACTGTAAGATTATCTACTCCCCTGTTTTTGTTACAAAATTTCTACCTTTACAGTTGTGACAGTTTCAATTAGTCATGATAACAATCACTCACGATTGAATCATAAGAATCTTATCCCCATCTCTCTCTCTCTCTTTTTTTTTTTTCCCATCTCTCTTTTTTTTTTAATGCTTTGTTGTGAATTACGTGATAGTTTACATGGGAGGACATTAGCTTCACATTGATCCTGTCGTATATCATTTCCTTGCCATGGTTACAATCCCCTCCATGCATCATCCATCAACCAAAGGGTATACGCTGCAAGCCTGTCCCATGTCACCCACCCCCACCCCGTCATCTCCCTTTCCGGGTCCAAAGCCCCCAGCCGCTCCTTCTCCCCACGTCATCATCTCTGCCTCCATCCCTGGCATCACTGCTTCTATGGGTAGGATTCTGTTCTCTGCTCTTCTCCCTTGATGGTCCCAGGGACCTTCGCTCCTAGACTGAAAAGTTAATCATTCCCCTCCCTTTGCCACAAAATATCTCCCTTTACATTTCTAGCCCTTACAATCAGTCCTGATAACAATTATTCACTATTGTATCATTAGAGACCTATCCGCATCTCCTTTCATCAGCCCCAACTAGACAGATTGGATACTACTCAGTGGAGATTCTACCTTGCTCCATGCCCTCTGAATCTAGGTTCCCTCTTGAAAGCTTGTAAGCCAGTCACTTCTTGCCTTTGTAGCCTCCCCATTTTGGGTAGCAAATGCCCAAGTTGCCCATCCCTGTCCTCTCCTTGTGTGGAGGGGGTTATCTCCATCTCTTTTAACCAGACCCATTTAGATAAGATGAAATCTACTTAGTGGGGACTCTACCTGCCGGGGGTCCTGAGTCGGGGTCCCGCCTCAACAAAGGATCACCTCGGCAAATGTGAAGTTTAACGGGAGTGAGATGTCTAGTAGGCGAAAGAAAAGAGAGACAAAGATTGATGCAAGCCGACAGGCAGGCTAGCACACCAAGTAGTCTTTTATTTTACCAAAGACTAAGTTACATTTTCTAAAGAAACTTAAACTGCTTCTGAGTCTTTTGCAGGCAGAAAATACATACTTCTATTAGTGAACAAGATTTCAGATACCTAACTTCCATTGTTAAACTAATGATTCTTTTTTACCTTGCTTCTACAATTATAGGGAAGGTGAAAAACAGGTTTTGACTTTTCTAAGAAGGTGCAGTCTTACTTTTACATTCTTTTAATCCTATTCCAGTTTCTATATCTAGATATAACAATGTTCATTACTATTATATTCCCAATATACCCTCGGGGGGAAGAGGAGTAATTAAATCATATTGATCAAGCCCGAGAGCAGTTTGTAGGCGCAGTCACCATTGTTCTAATTCATATGATCAGTCCAAGCAGCTTTTCTCGTGAAACATATGCGGAAGTTTTACTAGCTAATACAAATATCTAAGGTGACAATTTACAGTTTATTCCTTCATATTCTAATTATTTAATAATCAAGCAGCGGGGGATTATATGCAGTGCATAAAACTACCACATATAATAGGATTCCCCAAAAAAAGTACCATGATTGCAATAGTTATGCCCAGAGGCGGTTTGAGGGTACATAAAATTAACACATACAGTAAGATTCCCATGAAAAACATCAAGAGCATAACCAACATACACAGGGGTGTTTCCGGGGGGTAACTACTAGTTTCAGTGTGATTATTGTACATGGACATTAACAGCTCACGTATTTGTTTAACTGAATAATTGGTTAGAAAACAATTGTTACATATTCTCTGCGTTGCTACATCCTGTTTTTCTGTACTTTTATTTCTCATAGTCTCACGCACAACTCTTGTTACTGAGGCAGTGACATTTACATGAGAGCCATTGATCAGAACGTTGTGCGTATTATTACTGAAAACAATCACTTTCCCAGAAGCTACAATTACCGGAGTTAAGAGCATAAAGAACACGTACAGAATGCACAAAAGTATAATTTAAGAAAATTGCACAGAGGTGGCCAAACAGTGAGTTCGCCAAAGCCTATGAACCCGGGACTTCAGGGAGTTTCTTCCCTAGCCCTCGGGGTCCATGGCCCGTAAGCCTGAGGAGGGCTCAAAGACTGGATGTTCATCCATGTTATCCTTGTGCCTCAACTTCTCAGTGCTGATTACGTATGCTGCGGTTGCCAGCATCTACCTTCTCCTGCACATCCTTAAAATAAACTCCCTCTTGAAAATTTGTAAGCCAGTCATTTTGTGCCTTTACCGCCCCCTCATTTTAGGTAGCCAATGTGTAAGTTTCCTGTCTCTATCTACCCTGTATACAGAGGGGGTAGGATTGATACTTGATAGCTATCTGTTTGTTAACTGAAAGTTGATCCATTAGGGTGAATTCAATTGTAGATCTGAAGAGTAACCGAGGGCCATAGTCTTGGAGCTCCAACAGCCTTTATTTGACTAGTAAACTTGTTTTTTTCCCGTGAGTTTGAATTTGTACCACATTTTCTCCCGCTCTATCTAGGACCTTCTAATGTGATCACTCTCAGAGCAATTAGTAGTGGTAGGTTCATGCAGACTGATGTTCACATGGTCCATTAGTACATTGTAGTAATTGTACTTCAGTTTTTAACAGTCTTTCCCCCAGACATGGAGAGACCATTCGTTGCACCTTCAATGACTGTTCATGAGCTGTTAACATTCTAGTTGCTATTCATCAAAGTAGGGTTGTGGACAATGTTACTCCAATTGACCATGGTGTAACCTGAAACTATGGTCCTGAGCTCCCAAGGCCTGTGACTCATTCCTCATGGTGTTTGGTTAT